TGGGAGATGTAGGTCCAAGCCTGAGGGAATTTGAACCCGTTTCTCTCATCTCCAGAAACGTGTTCCCATCACCACGCTACAGCTTAGCCTGGGGTCAGATGCTCTCTGTTTTTCTGATGAAGTTGTTACACCTCGGCTATGTGCAAGCAGGCGGGGAGGAGAGATGCCGTGTTGGGACCTTAGGGGCTTTTAGTCTGTGCTGCACTAAGCAGTTTTGATGAGCTCTAGGGCATTTTCAGCAGCAAATTTCAAGTGGGCTTATAAGAGAGAAGCCGCCTTCTCACACTGCATCCCCTTTCAGCTTAAAATTGTTCTATTACTAAACACACATAATTTAAGCACTGATCAAAGAAACCCTGTGGCACAGAAACATTATTGATTCCTCTTGTTATGCCTCACCCTGTTCATAGCCCTCCCTGAGCCTCCAAAGCCTGCATGGCCAGGGGATGTTACAGCTCTCGTGTTTGCAAGCGAAAGGTGTTTGTCTCTCCTTGTGCATATAAAACACTTCTGCTTGATGAAGCATTAATTTGGGTTGTGCACCCTGAGTGAGAAGATTTCTGCCGGGGCAGGAGGAATGTGCTAGAAGGAAGAGAAGCATGAGATAAAGATTTGCCATAACTGGTGGGGTCTGGAGTCATTTTTGGAAGCTCAGTGCCAGTTCTGATTTGTGGTGCCTTTCAGCTGAGCCTGGGTTCAGCTTTACTGAAGATTCTTTGCCAGAAGTACTCGGCGAGCAGCCTGTGCGGATTGGGGAATGTAGCGACATGACTCTTCCAGTGGTCTTAAAAAAACCAAATAAATCTTTCTTGTCGTGGACCGTATCTCTAAGGTATGCTAAAGCAAAAGGATGAATAGCTTTTCTAAACGGACTGGATTTTGTATCAGGCCCTGTTTGCAGTGTTCATATATAAGGACTCAGAGTACAGCTCTTGTGCAGAAACTTATTACCCATTTTTCTGCAGCAGCAAGGATTCCTTGGAGAATTACCTGGGTTCCAGGCTATACTTCTGTAGTCATGGTAATGTAGTCTGTGGCTAAACTGCGAAGATTTGGCATGCTGCAGTTTTGTATCGTAAATGGGATTGTGTATGCGCTAATGGGGGTCCAGTGCTGTGCACGTGTGTCTTTAAGGGCTCTCAGGGCAGAAAGACACTTTCAGATTTGACTTTTGGAAGGAGTTATTTTCTTTTCAATTTTGATATTTGTTTCAGTATTATGTTTTCACCACTATTATGAAACTGGGTGGTTGTTCCTAATGTTTTCCTGAAGAAGAAGAAAAAAATCCCGTTAAGCAACAAGCAGCCTTTCCCATTAGCTCAGTAATTGAAGTGGGGGGTACCTTGCAAATGCAACCACTGGATGCCCTGTCACAGCAATACTGTTTTTTCTGGTGCCATAGTTCTTTCTAATGTTTGAGTCAGGAGAAGTTGCCAAAATGCAAATTACGGCTAACACACTTTTCTCTCCCACACAGAGCGGATTATTGATAGCGGATGTAGCTGGTTCCTCATGCAGTTGCCTTGCAGCCCTTCCTATTGTACTCATTGGTTTAAGACACCTCAGCACTCTCTGTCCATCACTGTCTTCTCTTCAGGAGAACTACAGATGCGAGCATTTTCTTTTGGAACCCACAGTTCAGGAGGGAATTGCTAGCTGGAAATCATATATAGCTTTAAATGTAGCCGTGTGAGAGTTTGTATAGAGAGAACACCCCATCTCTGATTCCCGTGTTATTTTCTCTTGATAAATTTATGGTGTATTTCTAAGTCATGCTCGTCATGTGTGTTGTAGTACTTTAGTTGCTCTCTCTCTGTTAGGGCAGCTGTGAGCTACATAGTTCATTTGAACCAGAGAAGTCCTCAAAATCAGGCTGCTGTGTAGACGCAAGTAGCTCTTTGTGGTTATGTTCTGTTCCTATCAGTTCTTTTGATGTGTGCAAAATTTTGCCCCAGCTGGATGTACTGTTTCCTCCATCCTAGAGAGTGCAAGTGAAGAAAAAAGGAGAGACAAGGAGCAGGAAAGAGATAAAGAAAATAAACAAGTTTTGCAATAAAGAGGTATTTTGAGCTGAGTATTTCATGTTGTTTCCTAATGGTCAAACCTCTTCCATGATTTGAGAGGGTTAGTCATGCAATTTATTCATTTTCTCCAAGTGAGAGGCTGCATTTAATATGTTCTCTCCAGGATCCCCTGTTAAAATATTAGGCAATAAAATCCTTGACTGTACAGTAGTTGTGGTTATAATTTCCCCCAGGTAGTGGAAACTCTGTAATTTATAGTTGTTTAAGTTTTCCCTTTGCACAGACCGGAGTGGTTGTAGCAGTGTAAAAAGCCCTGTTTTTCCCCAGGTGCGTGTGTGTGCTGGTGACCCAGCTCTTCTCTGATGAGCTCTGTGCTGCGAAGCCCTCCACAGCTGCTGACTTGGCATCTGTGGGCAAAAATCCTGGTGAGGGCTGAGCTGGGTCTGTTGTAAGCAACTTGCTTTGCTCCTCCTTGGTAAAAACCACGGGTCCGCCTGGGCTTGGGGTGGTTCTGCAGGATGGGGATGGATACCTCCCTTGGTCTGAACAGGAGGAATTATTTATGATGAGCCCATGTATGCTATTGAAAACTGCTCTTTAGTACAGACACATCTTTCTTTGGTGATGTACTTTTAATGCAGGTTGGCTAAACTGGCTGAGCTGATGTATGAAGAACAGGCTCATTTCCTGTGAGCTGTTGGCTCCTCCTGACATAAGAGTGTCTGCATTAATTGGTGCTGCAGATCTTCACAGCATTAGCTGGGGCTGGAGTAGTCTGAGGTTGTAAATGAGGCATGGTTTGTGGGGGGATGTGTGATCCCTTTTTTAGACCAGCTGGAAAAGCTGGAAGAAGCAGGCGGGCTTGGAGGCGTGGACGGGCTGGCTGAAGCTCGCCTTGTTCTAGATTTAGTTTTGCGAGCGCAGGCAGCACCTCCTTTCGAAAGGAGGGGGCTCAGCCTGGCAGCTGCCTGCAGATGGGCAGTGGTGGTGCCTGAGGTCTCCTCTTGTGGATGTCCTTTGCAGCACCCCACAGATGCACTAGTCTGACCTGCTTTTTCTCCATGGTGGACTGTAGCCCTCAAGCATATAGAGGCAAAAATGCTTAAAAACACGATAGTTCAGGAACCTGAGAGGAAAATTATAGCAGTACCTCATTTGTTGTTATGTTTTTAAATCTTCCTGTTTTCAGCCACTGTCATGAATTTTGATTGTGGGGTTTTAACACGGCTGGTGACATTAAAGAAGGAGGCAGAGGGGCACCTCCACCCTCCAAAGGAGCTGTTAGGATGAGAGGAGGGGTGCGAGCGCACCAGCCTCCCTGTGCTAAACACAGCCTTCCTGAATGTGCTGCTAAGTCGGCTTTGCTTTATACATCCAGAGTGGGAGAAGTGTCAGTGCCTCTGGTGTGAAAAGAGTTCAGTGCCTGAATGGATTTATTTAGCACCTGAGACCATGTTTCAGCCTGGGTGGAGGAAGGGAGAGGTGGCTGATCCCCCTGCTGCAGGTGACAACGCCAGGCAGAGTTAGAAAACACAGGTCTTGGCAATTTTTGGAGCAGTGAAAGGTTAAAAAACCCCAAACTGCTTCTTCCGGCAGCCTTTGCCTCAAATGTGTGAGCTTCAGCATTGGAGTAGCAAAGATAAAATGTTAACTTCATACCTGGTCCAATGCTTCTGGAATAAAAGTCATGCCATGAAGAAACCTTCCTTGCATGGGCGTGCAGTAGGCTGTATTTTATTCGATGCTAGACTATGAAGCTATTAGCAAAAAAGTAAGGAAAAAAACTCCAGAAAACTAATGGTAAACAAGCATAACCTGCTATCAATGAGCATCTCATTTCTACCATGGTCTTATTCTGCCCTAACGGATCACACTCCCACAGAGAGCGACTCGCATTGTTTCCTCCCGCGACGTGAATTTTGTAACTCACTGCATACAAATGTTGATGCCAGGTACCCTGAGGAAGAAGCCTGTGGTGTTTAATCAGTAGCGCAAGAATGTGTTTGGTGGCTTCTTATCTGTCCAGAGTCTAAAATGCAAAACATTCAGCAAACTGTGTTATAGAGATTATATGATACCCTCAGTCTATGCGTCAAAAAAGTCTGAAAACGTAAGGAAATGATCCCCAGGGGAAGCCTGTGGAAGTGGTTTTCCCCACTCCAAATGTGAAGGGTGAGAACATGAATACTTTCATTTGTGCAGCACGAAATACCCCACGACTGCAACCCTGTGGGCACGCAGCCATTGGCACACACCCGTTGTGCGGTGGCTGTGCCCTGGCCCCGCTGGTTGCAGCGCCGTTTGGTTTTGGCTCCTGGTGGTGTTCTGAAGTTCTCCGCCCAGGGTGTCAGAGTCCTTCTTAAACCAGCATAGATATTTAGGAATAATTTGGTCAGGATCTGGCAGCTGGGGAACTTTGTGCTTCAGGTTTACCTGGTTAAGAAAGATTGGGGGGCAGGAGGAGGGAAAGACAAACATTCCCCCTTTCCCTTTTTTCTTTGGCTGGAAGGAATGATTTTATTGGAGATGACTTTTTAAAAGATATAAATTAAAGCCTCTAAGAAGTAATATTGCATCTTCAAAACAAACTGCTGATCTCAACTGCTTTTACCAAATGCATGCAGAATTTTCCCCTCAGGATCCTTAAAGGCCCTGGAGTGCCTGCCTTGCAAAACCTGGGGCGGTGAACAGAGTCACTGGAGAGCGATCTCCATAGGATACCTTTAGACAGCGTGCTTGCGTGTGTTTATAAATACATACATTTAACACATAAAATTCTCTTTTGGTTTGTTACCGCATACCACAAGCAGAAAGAAAATCGTGCAGAACCAAGATATCAAAAGAGACGCTGCCCAGCTGGTAAACTCTGAAAAAGATAAAACAAAACCATCTAAGAGGCACAGACACAGGCAGGTTTTACCCCCAGCTTTCTCTTGCTGCTTAATACACGTGGCTATTTCTTTGTGGTCGTTTCAGATGCCTCAGGAACAGTACGCACACCGGAGCACCATGCAGACCTCGGAAGGACCCCAGGTATACAAAGTGGGAATTTATGGCTGGAGGAAGAGATGCCTCTATTTCTTTGTGCTGCTCCTAATGATTTTAATCCTGGTGAACCTTGCTATGACCATCTGGATTCTGAAGGTTATGAACTTCACAATTGTAAGTAGGGGTTACCTGAAAGGTCCAGGGGAGATGGGGGAGGGTGATGGTCTTTTATCTGAGCATGAATTCAGATACAACTTCGATAATGGGGTGTTTTAGTTTCCATGGATGGCTGTTATTACAGGGAGGAACAAATTTACCCAGTGATCCTCTTTTTCTGCTAGAGATGTCTGCAGTATTGGCAAGCTGAGGAATTAGCTCAGCATTGCAAATCATGTTCCTCCTACCTGCTATATATATATATATGTACATGTATATGTGTAAACAATATGTACCACACTACCCCAATTTTCAATTATGAACTGTTTTAAAATTAATGAAATAGGTTATTCTGAACTGGGGTACGGAAGTGGGTTTCAGCCTTTCTCTTACACTTTTTCTGCTTTTCTCCATGACTGGGAAGTCAAGAAACTTGATTTTTCTTGGGAAAAATTCGTGTTGTTCCGTAATGGCGTGGTTCCAGAAGCTTCATGAAGAAAAATAAGATTTCCAGGGTGGCTGGCTGGATGTGGTGTTTAGGTGGAGCACATCTTGATCCTCATTGTGCTGTGGTTGGTGCACATCAGTCCTTGCTGCGCAGACGCCCTGGCCAGGCTTAGCTTTCCAGAAGCCCCTAGAAAGGTGTTGGGCGGCTGTACTGGGAGGTAGCTTGCACTGGGGTAGATGGTGTCTTCTGGGCATGGAGTGTTCTTCACAGCACTTGAAATCTGTTCAGACTCTTTTTTGAGATCTTAAGGGGTGCCTTGACCTTGAATTACTTTTTTACAGGGTGAGCTGCACCTCTCCTGCTCAAACACGCTGAAAGTCAGGACGTGACAAACCAGGCGCACCCCACTTCAGGGCTAGTGAGCCTTTTATGTACTGCAGGTCCTAGTTTTTCACTACATAATTTGGCCAAGCACAGGGAAAATTAAATGATTTGTCCTCTCTTCTTCAAAGCGGTCATTGCCACCTTGGTGAGATGGAGTTATTTTAAGATCATTTGAGTCTTCAGGAGAAACTAACTTTGAGCTTTAATCCTAGATTTACTTCATGAGAGAGCTGTAAGGCTAAATTCCCCTAGACCACTTTCAAGGACTTTCCCAGACAGGCTCTGATATGAGCAGAGTGTTTGAAGCTTCCTGGCTTTTCTTTCTCTGCTTTGGTCTCCTGAAGCCCTGAACAGCAGTGTCCAACACTGTGTCACTAATGGGCCATGAGAAGTTGAGTAAACAATCTCTGACTTGCTGTCTCCAGCAGACAAAATGCTGTGTCAGGGGAACACGGAGCATTCATTTTCTCTAACCAGGGTGCTGTCAAGGTGTGTGGAAGATTGCAATGCATGTGTGCTTAGGGAGCAAGCAATTATAAAGCAGTAATCCACAAAAAGCTCCTATGAGTGGGTTAGGAGTGAGCTGAACTGGAGCAATTAATGCTTAACCAGACCAGCTATTTAATCTTGGGAAATTGATGCCATTTTGATACATATTTTTTTTGCTGAACTGTTGTCTTTTGATTAACGTAGTTGAAAATATATGTTTCTGAGGTGGTGGAAGACTTGGTCATACAGACAGTGGTGTGGATATAAGCCCAAGCACAAAACAATAGAATTTCAGATTCCCACTTTGCAGGAGTGCAACTGTGTTTCGTTAGAATAACACAACCTCAGTATGTCAGTCCCACGTTTTCTGCTCTTTGGTGGTGGTCAGTCTACTCTCTACAAGCTGCTTGGGAAGCCAGCTGAATTTCCCTGCTCCCTTCTCCCTCACTGCCCTCTCCTAATGCATTGCATTTTGCAGGCCGTCTGCAGAAGGGTCATCTCCTAGGGATGCTTACAGAAACCTTCCCATTCCAGCAACTCTCCGTCCCACTACGATATACACTGGGGTTTTTCGGAGTGCACTGATCTTCAAGCTCTTGTCTGATTCTGTTTCTTTAAATAGTCACTCACTGCAGATTAGTCCAGGGTAAAGTATATTTTTGTATATGCTTTCAGTTAATTCCTGTCTTCTAATGTTAGTAGGCAATGAACAGCTTTTGGTGATAAAAACACAGACGGTGGCACTGAATCCTGCAGTGGGAACTGCTTTATGGTTATAGGCATGGCTGCACTAGTCGGGGTGTGTGCCTCTGACCCAGCCAACTGGAAATAAATGTAAGAACAGGGCATTTAAAATGTGATCCTTGCCCCAGTATGTACCCATTCGTCTCCTGATCTGCTGCTGCTCCTGCAGCCTCGCCAGCTGCTTTGGATCCTGCTCTGCAATCCCTCCTGCACCATTCCCTCAGGCTGAGAAAACCGCTTTGCTGAGTGAATTTTTAGAGGCAAACTCTTACCTCTAAATTACAAATGTAGGATAATTCTCAAATGAGGAGATGCAAATATGGAAAAATCTTTAATTTGTTCGTGTTCTGATAAGAGGAGCTGAGAGTCCTTCTGGGACAGGGGAATGATTCGAGTGCTCAGTAAGCAGTAGCTGCTGCTTAGCCGGTCTGAGTTATCCCAGCGCTTGCAGAGCCAAAAGGGAGGGGAAAGTTTGCAGTCCTTTTCTTGAGAAAACATGGTATTTTCAGTATCTTCCTACCCCTGAGCACTCTTTC